GGTCTGCTCCAGCTCCCCAGAGCTGGCATGGGGCCCCATCAACTCTTGCCCACCCACCAACCCTCTACGGCAGAGCCCCAAAGCAGGGATCACCAGGCTCAGCCCAAAACCAAGCCTGGATGCAGCACCCCCAGCCACCCCAAAGGAGAGGGGACCCCAGAGGGAAAGGGCACTTGGGAGGTGGCACTGCCAGATCCCACCAGGTTGGTCTAGGGCACTTGGGAGGTGGCACTGCCAGATCCCAACAGGTTGGTCTCTAGTGCTGCTTCTCACCATCGATGTGGATCGACTTCAGCTCCCCATCCTCCTCCACTTCCACCCGCTCCCGCCCATTCTCGATAATCCTGCAGACAGACAGACAGACGGTCAAAGGCCAGGCAAGCAGAGCATCGCAGCAGCAAGCTGCAGGCTTGGCCCACTGATGAGGGGGACCAGCAGTGCCCTCACCGCTTGGTGGTGATGCGCTTGCCATTAACAAAGGTGGTGGAGGTGGAGACAGAGCAGAAGCCCAGCCCTCTGTTGCCACTGGAGCTGAAGGACGAGGCAAAGAAATCTGAAACAGGGAGTGACAAGGTCGGTGCCATGGTAGGAAGCACAGGGAATGCAGGGGATGGACCCTGCACAGGCGCACACCATGTCCTGGGACTCCCCAGGCCAGCTAGGGGCTGGCAGCATCTCCCACCTGAGGATCCTGGGAAGGTGGAAAAGAAGTGACCTCCTCTGTGGTGCCGTGGGCCAGGTCCTCGCAGGTCAGAGAAGGGCAGCATCTCATCTGGAAAGCAGGACCTACCCCCATCAATACTGCCCCCATGGCTTGGAGAGCCAGGAGCCCAGCACGGCCATGTGGAGCCCCCACTGAGGCCAGCCATGTGCTCTGTCCCCAAGCCCACTCAGAGGGCTGTCCCAGAGGCAGCGCCCCAGCCCCCCCTGCCCTGCACACACCAAAGAAGTCAGCAAAGGGGTCTCGCCCGCCAAAGAACTCCCGGAAGACATCGTGAGCGCTGCGGAAGGTGAAGGTGAAGTCGGGGGCCCCAGCACTGGCCCCAGAGCCTCCTGGTCCTGCTGGAGGGAGAAAGCTCAGAGTTAAGTGGAGTCCTGGGGGGGAATCCCCCAAGGGGCGGGAAGCCCCATGGGGTACAGACCCACACCGTGTCTTCAGACGGGGCTATATCCAGAGCTGCACTGACCCCATGGCCCTGCTCCCCCACTCACCTGCCCCCATGAGTCCGTCCTTGCCATAACGGTCATAGATATCGCGCTTCTGCTCTGGAAGAAGAAAGGGGGCTGTGGGGAGCTGGCTGCCAGCCATGGACAGGAACACTGATGCTGCCCCAGCCAAGGGAGGTGCAGAAGAGCAAGAGGAGGGGTGGCATGAGCCAGCTGCACCCTCCCAAACCCAAGCTGAGGCACTGGGTGAGGAGGCACGAGCCTCAGCCCCACTGGGGAGACCTCATCCTGGAGGCCAACCCACAGCATCTCCCAAGGACTGTTCTGAGAGACATATAGGGAGGTAACTAAGCCCCGCAAGCCAGGCAGTAAGGCTGGAGGGACCCACTGCATCTAGGGATGTCCACGGATGCCACCTGGGTGAGCCCAGTAGCAGGACACCCCAGGATGAGAAGCCCCAAGGGCAAGGGGACATGCAGGACAGCACCATGGCCTCTTACTGTCTGACAGCACTTCATATGCCTCGGCGATCTCCTTGAACCTCTGCTCAGCATACTCCTTGTTGTCCGGGTTTTTATCTGGGTGCCATTTCAGCGCAGCCTTCCTGTACCTGCACAAACAGGCAGTGATGGGCACGCAGCAGCCCTCAGGCAGCGGGCCTCCACTCTGCTCTGAGCATCCCTGCTCTGAGTACACACCACTGACCCTGTGGCCATAGGCACCCCGAGCTTGCTTCACCCAGGACCTTACAGCCTCCAGCATCAAACAGGAGCTTTCTGGATTGGTCCTGCCTACCGAGCAAACATCTGTGACATGACCCCGTGCATCATGTGGTGCAGCCTGTGCCTGCCTCAGCTCTGGACAGTGCTCACAGGTTTGCTCCAGAGACTTCCTGGGCTCCACCATGGGCATGAATGGACCAGGGACTGCTGGGGACTCCTGGGGATAAACAGCCCTTTCCTCCTGCCTGCAGCTAGCTGGGGTTAACCCAGCTGCCCAACTTCTCTTACCCATTCTTAGGAAGCCCCCCTAGCAGGGATCTCTGTCCTCTGCCTCTGTCCCCCCAGGCAAGCCACCAGTCTGCACCTATTGTCCCAGGTGATGCCTCACCCCAGTGAGAGCAGCCAAGACCTGGGCAGGGTGCCAGGTGGCAGCTGCAGGAGGCTCTGGTCACCCTCAGGGCTCCTCACAGTGCCTGGGGCACAGCACACTCCTGCCAGCAGGGCCTATGACCCTGACAGGTGCTCCTCACCCTCTGAGCTCCAGTCCACCAACCCTGATACCAGCAGAGCCCCTGCACCCTAGCCCTCTGCCGTCCCCTCCAGCAGAAAGAGGGGACGCCTCCAAACATCGGTGGGACCCACCTCCCGCCTTCATCCCCAGCCCTGGCCTGAGAGTGGGGACAAAGGGACCAAACCCCACCAAGACATTCCTCTGTGCAGCAGAAAAGCCCAGCCCCGCTCTGGCCTCCGCACAAAGGAAACAAAGGCTGGATTGTCAACTCTAGAGCTGGGCCCTGTCCCCACTGGCCCCACAGGGAGCCCCTGTCTTGCTGCCACCGGAAGGAAGGGAGGACCAGTGGCTTCAGCTGCTGTGCCCAGTGGGCAGGGTCACACCTGACACCCACTTACGCCTTCTTGATGTCATCAGCAGTGGCATTGCGGCTCACCCCCAGCGCTTCGTAGTAGTCCACCATGACGTGTGGCTGTCCCACGGGGTCACTGCAGGGGGAATGGCAATGTCAGGGGGTCCACAAACACAGCCTGGCAGCACTGGGTATGAGAGAGCAAGAGTGGACTCTGCTGCCCTCCCCAGGTACC